TAGGACTAGCTGTGGGTTTAGTGGGAGCAATGGTGGGATCGGTAGGCCAAGTGAGTCCGTGATCGTTGTACACACAGGTCTGGTTGAGTTCACTAAAGACTAGGTCTTCAGGACAGGTGATGACATAACCTATGCCTCCCTGACAGTCGATAAACTTGTGAGGATTGCCCGGCATCTCAAAGAGACCATCGGGTTTTGGGCACTTGACTACCGGTACGTCTGGATCCCTATCGCAGGTCTGCTCCTTCTCGTCGAAGACTAGATTTCCCGGACACCAGTAGCCGGCGATCCATTTGCCACGAGAGCACCGGTGGAAAATATGGGGATTCAGGGGGTCTCTGAACATCTTATCCGGGTCGTGACCCTCACAGCTCACCGGCTGTATCGGGGGTCGGGTGGTGCCCTCCATTTCCTCGTCTATGGGCCAACAGTAGGCTATATATCGTAAATAAAAAATAATTTAATTTTAACGAAATTTCGATTCCTTTATTCAGATTACACTAAAAACTTACCAAAAGTCAAGAAAACAGCAATAATTGCAATTCTAAACATTTTCAAAAAGTTTAGTTTAGTTTGAAGTAATTATTTGGTTTAATAATCAATTCAATGACTATTTGAAGGCAATTGATGAGTGATTGAGTGATTGATTCAATATTTATATGATTTTGAAATATATTCAGGATTTGTAGTAAAAATATATCCGCATTTACTAGATTATCTATAATTAAAATGAGTTCAAAATGTGAAACAATTGTTTGTATTGTGAAACAAACACAATACTATTTCAACACAATTTAGAAAAAGTATTTTATTCCTAGTACTTGATAAATATGAGATTAGCTTTCTAATTAATTTATAGTATACTTTTATCTCATATTTATTTATAATTAGTTTGCGATATCACAATACAATTAAAAAATGTTTCAAATATTTGGTGATTTCCTTATAAAGTAATCGACATCTGTTTATCGGTATATAAAAATGATAACAAAATTAGTTTTGAAGTACAATTAATTTTAATTTTTCTTTCACTTAATGTTTGCAATAATTAACAGAATTTGTATTGAAATCAAAAGCAATATTTATTTTGAGAAAAAGATATTAATATTTGTTTACAACTAAAATCAATTCTTAAGAAAACAATTGAACTTTTTATGTTCAAATGAAATACAAATTAAAAATAATTTCAAAGAATAATTAAGTATTTTAAAAAATAATTTCAAAGAATAATTAAGTATTTTAAAAAATAATTTCAAAGAATAATTAAGTATTTTAAAAAATAATTTCAAGAATTTTGTGTTAAATGCAATACAATATCAAATTCAAATAATTATATGAATTAAAGTTAAAAACATATTTTGTTGATTAATATAATAAAAAATGTCAATAATTAAGAAATAGTTAAGAAATAGTAATAAAATGTTTATAAAACGGCAATAATTATAAATGTTTTAATTAAAAAATAATTATTAAATTACTTAACATTGCGCTTAACATAAACCAAAACATAAGCTTCGGATGACTGCAGTCTTTTATCCGATATCTCATCGACGTATGAGTCGTTGAAATGATACCACTTTTGGTTGCGATAATTCTTAGCACAAGCCGTATAGTGTCCACAATAAGAAGATCCGCTATAGTTGGACACCGCTGTCAAGTCATACATATAGTCTTTCCCTGATGTCTGTCCATTCACTACATAATTCTTAAGATCCAATTCAATGGGAAACTCGCAGTTATACAGTTTGCCGGGACTTGACTTCAATTGCAATAGCAGTACATTAGGTGCGTGTTGTACAGCGTATGATTGGTTTGAGAATTTGCCCCCGATATTAGTGTTTAGCCGGGTACTTGTCTGACATCCCGAGCATTTCTCATCTGAGATATCGTATGACAAGTATTGGTTGAGACAGTCATCGAGTTTTATGATGCGGTCATCGCATGCTCTGGAGTTATGAGGTCTCAGATTAATCTCTTCATACTCTTCATAATAATCTCTAAACCCATTGCTCATACGGGAGTAGACTATGAAAGTGCTCACAAAATATGGCAAATCACACGCCCAATAAAGGCTATCAAACTTCCTATCATAGTATCTGAACTTTGTTTGTTTCAACCGCTCATACATCTGACAATCAGTATTTAACAAGCATTTGGATAATTGTTCAGCAAATGCAGTGACAATAGTGGCATAACTACTGTCATAGACATTCAATAGCAAAGGTGTGCCAAATCTGTCGATCTCTGACAGTGAAATGAAGTAATGTTTGGGAAATGAGGGGTCGATCTCATAGACATAAATATGACCTGCTATTCGGTTGAGGTTCAGGATCTCATTCTTGCCATAAACACAATGTATGGTGTGATCGACAACATTAGTGACAATGAGATGATTGTCATTCAGTAAGTCTGAAGTGATTTCATGGAAAGTTTGTAACAATATTCTTATCAATTGAATGATAAGAATCTGACTCTTTGTGAATCTCAATTCAATTTTGTTAATGATTTGACTCTCATTTCTAATCAATGAGACCTCGAGTATAATGAGATCTCTTCTGTCGATTTGTGGCAAACTTATGATCGGAAATGACTGGGAATTGGTATGAATTGTTTGCCCGCAATCACAGCTTACTTTGAATGACTGAAAGCCATAGAAATTGATTGCAATAAATGTGTTATTTTGACGCAAATATTCAGCAAAAGTGTTGAATTCAATCACATCAGTGGTTCTGTTGCCGCTATAAGTGAGATCCATTTCAAGCAATTCTTTGTGGAACTGATCCAGAATTGACACTAAAAACTCTGAGCAATCGTTTTGGTTATAACCACTGAATCTGTCGAAAGTTTGGGACACTTTTCTACGGAAACTGGTCGGCCAGACAGCCGATGATTTTGCTGACCATAACTCGACAACCAATTCACTGAACAACTGAATCAATGACTTTTCATAATTATAACCATTGCCACAATGATTGAAAATCTCAAAGTCTTTCATAAATGGTGCCACAAATTCAATGTTAGACAGACATTGAATCCCACTATTCATATAACATGTGTTTCCCATGTTTTGGAGACCACAAACTCCTTCAGTGAGAGGTTTATATCGGTAATTGTTTCGCACATTTGTAGGTTTGACTGAAATGCAAATAAAAATCTCAAAATAAAATTCATTTATAATATAAAGACAACAAATAATTGCCTGATTTATCAGTCTTCTGCTTTTGTTTGATTACTTTTAGATTTATTTTGTTTGCGATTCTTCTTCTTCTTCTTCTTTGGTTTCTTTTGATTGAATGGTTTGACTGAAGAACTGTTTCCAAACACTTGACTAAATCATGAGACAAAAGTGTTAAACCAAATAAAGTAATCAATATTTACAGTAAAAAAGTTAAAATATTAGCACAAACTTTGCAATGGAAGTGCCTTCGGATTCAGTCGAGTCTTCAGAATCGTTACTTTTGTCACATTTAACCTCAGATGCGATGGATGTGAAGGGCTCTGTCTTAACACGTGAGGGACCCGCTACTGATCCCATCTCACAATCGGTACTCACATTCCTCGATGTCTGCGCTGAATCTTCTGATACAAAACACAAACTATTATAACATTTGAATATAATTTACAAATGATTACCAAATTCTTGGGAAAGTTTTATTCTTGTGACAGAACTTTGGTTTAGTTCATCCATTTGGTGACCACTTGTCTGTTGATAACTAGTGGTAATCATTGCCGATAAACTAGAAAATGGTCTGAAGAAAAGTAAGTTTTTAATAAGATTTAAAATTAATAAAATGATAATACCTTTTGAATTGAGTCCATAAATATGACAAAATGTTATGAGAAGATAAGTCATGCCTTGTTTGTCCCTTAAATATACAAATATGAGTATTTAAGATTTATATCACAAATTTTAGATCACAAATATTAAGTTATGATTAAAACAAACCTCAATGTCCTGTGGACTGTTAGACACGGCACCAGTTGTTGAGGCTAACGATAATTACAATTGTTGTCAAATAAGAGTTAAATTTTACAAACATTTTCATACCATTTCTTGTGAGTGAATCGCAAATACTTAGATTATCCATAAGTAATGAAATGGGTGAACAATAACTCTGTTTGTGGCAAATGATCTTAAAATGATTGATGTCAAGACATCTGACATTAGGTTCAAATCTAAAGTATTGACGGATATCCTCTATATTGTCATAAATGAGAGTAATTGGAGACGAAATTTCTATACTTAAGTGTCTGATGAATGATATGAAACTCGTATCGTTAGTAATGACAACAAAAGCTGTTTGTCCATCACTTAAGCCCAAACTGATTAGGAATTGAAAGAAATCAAGTTTCGACTCATAGGATATTCGTGGAAATGTATGGTTTGGGTGCTGGTCGATGTGTATGATGTGATTCACACACCAGCAAATGAAATGCTTTTCAATGTATTGGTATGGAGTGACCAGAACTGTCCGAATGGTCTCTTTGAATGCCTGTATATCACCGAAAGGACAGGTATCCAAGTCCCAGAAAATCGATACAAAGTGTGTCATCCTATGCCATCACTAAATCGCTTTTGATTGCATTCAAACTGTATTCATAATTATTTATTAAACTTTTATATGAAAATAGTTCACTTTCAAATCATTCAAAAAAGTTTTATTTTTCAGATAATATAATAGTTATAATTATGTAATATAATACTATAGCATAAGTTATACAATGTAATCATATAATGCAATAATTTTCAATGAAATCAAAATTACAAAAGCAAACAAAATCAAAAGTATTGAAAATGCAATGAATTGTGAAATAATTTTAATGTTTTTTGGCATAAGATTGTGTCCACTGTCTGGCGGTGTCTCTGTACTGCTGTTCAGTCAATCCACGGCCAGTATAAGGGCTGTTACGATTGGGTTGGACTAACAGATTATTGAGGGCCAGTAGTACTGTCATCACAGTATCGGTCGGACGCCAATTGGACAGTAGTGTCAGACATATATTGCATTTGAGTGAATATTTGCGTGAAATATCTGAGTTATGAATCTCATGTCCGGCCCGCGGGTCGGGTAATTGGCAGGGAATCGGAGCTCAATCTCAAACATCCCGCCCTCGTATGGGGTCTCTTTGGGTCCGTTCAGGAAAACTTTCCAAACCAACAGGTTATCAGTCGGGGCCACAGTTGCAAAGGGGTTGGGGTCTGACATGAAGTCCTTGTATTCACGCCGAAGCCTCTCAGCAGCCATTCCTCTATGTATTACAGGTTTATAGCTATTTATTATCAATTGGTTTCATATCTTATTTAATTAATTACAATACAATTATGTTTTCTTAAGCTTTTTGTGTAACACTATTGGTGTAACTTTTTATAAACTTTGCATTTCATTGAAAACCATTGCATTACAGTATAATTATAAATGATTAAAACAATGTATAAATTACTTACTTTAGAAGTGATACCAAATTGCAATGAATGGATATTTATTGTCTTTAAAGATGTTTTCACTCCAAGAGTTAAATCACTGAATGAATGAAAGAGTTTGTGTTTCACAGACTTTACGCCTTTAAATCCAAAGCAATACTAACTCGTAATGCAATCGCTTTTACAGCGAATTTCGTTTGAAAAACTCGTGATTGAAAAAAGTTGTGAAAACTTTTCAAATACAGTCTAATGTGTTAATTAGTTGATGTAGTTTTGATAGCAGAGCTCATATTTTCTGTATATTTCAGTGGTATATGTGTTAGTAAAATAGGATTTGATTGTAATTTTGTCGGCATTTAACTTTAAATCCATTGAAGCCTATGTAAACAACTCATCAAATATCCAAAACGTTCAGTAATAAAATCCTATCAAACTTAATGTCTAAAAATGAAAGTCAAATAAAACAAAACATCTCATAACATAAAATCAAATCTAATTTAACGTAATCAACTTTAAATTAACACATTTAAGAATTAAAACAATACCGTATAGTATATTAAACACTAGTTTAAAGCAAATAATTTATACAAATTAAAATCAGTAGTAAAAATGATAGCTAAATATACTTTATAAATATATACGATATAAATAAACTTTTACAAGCAAAAATCAATTAAATATTTAGTTTTATTCAGTGTAATTACATTTTCATTAAACACTTTAATTCAAAACAAAATGATTAGACTTTAAAAACTTATTTTTATTAACTCATGCTTTTAAATCCCAATTAATTTTATTCGTGATATTAAGTCTTTTTAAATATAACTCATTGATTGAAATATATGTAAAACTAATTATCATTCATTTAACTGAATGTCTATTAAAGTTAAAGTTCACTAAAACAATGACTGAATTTCTATTAGGATTAAGACTTTCGATGCAATCCTTGAGCTCATCGGTGGTGTCCTTTGAAACCAATGGTTTGCCTAATATATGACCCTTTGTTTGAAAGCCAAACATTCCTACGAAAGGGAATACCGATTGAAATTCAGTCGTGAACTCAAAGCTAAAGTTATCTGAATTGGCAAATATGATGGCAATGGATGTCGAGTTCTTGTAATCATTGCAATCAAAGTCTAAACTATTTCTGAAATGCAATAATTGCGACAAATATGTTGACGGATCTGATGTCGATATGACAGCACTTCCAGTCCGGACTCGATGTCCACCAAAAGTGAGTATAATGTGGTCCAGAAGTAACGGACACTTTGACAGAGTTTTGGCGGCGACTACTGATCCGCCACCGAAAGAGACACTCCTATCAAGTCTTGAGATCAAACCATTGATCGCACCAACAGTTTGTGTATCTCTGAGAACCCCTTTCGGAGTTCTGTCCCTAACTCTGGAGGACTCGAAGAATAAAATACTCGACACATCCTTAGTGTCCACGTCTTGCAACGAGTGGTAAGATCTGACTTCAATGCCATCGATATCTGGGATCAAAAGTGATGTCAGACCTATTGTATGGCAAACAATTAGTTCACAATATTTTCAAAACTCAAGAATAATGTGATGAATACATGGGAATGAAGTTCTTTCAAAGTCTCGTTTGTTGTCGAGAATATCACCGAAATTGAGTAAACTCTTCGTCCGTATAGAAGAGGCCAATATCTTTCCGACATCCAAGTAAGTGATGTCACAGTCTGTGGGAAGTCCTGCACTCATATGTCGGACACTATTCTCTTTGCGTCTGTAATCGATTGGCTGCCGATAACCGCCGATCAGAACCAACACGTGTTTTGGTCTCATATCAAGACATCTCTTGTTGTAGTCTTTGAATAGCTCTATGAGTCGTTGGGAGTCATAAATAGGCTGTTCTTTGACTAACTGATGGTTCAAAAGATAGAGATGTATAATGTGTTTGCGTTTCTCGTATTCATAAGCGGACGCATAGAAGAAGTCTTTTGAGAGACAATGACTTGTGAACAGAGATCTGATGTCGAGTTCGCTCACTATTCTTGCGATCAGATATGGATTCCTGAGCACTAATTCTGTGCTTATCTTTGAGTCCATTGGATGGTAAGGACTGTGCTTAGGATGACTACTTTACTGATGTTAACTTGACTTTTAAATATCTTATACTCTAACTGTTGTTAAAGGTTTTATTGTTTGCGCGAATTTAATAATTATTATGTTATTGGCATTACTCATAGGATTAGTACAAGTCTAACAGAAAAGTTAAATATAAAGTACTCAAACTTACAGTAACTTAAAATACCGACAAATTGTGAATAAATTCAAATTATTTTTATAATCCACAAAATCGACAGTAATTTTTAATTGCCATATAAATCGAAATGAAATACTATTATATAACATGTTTGGTGGTGTCGGCGCTTATATGGATCGGTAACTTATGTGCTAATGAAACGGAGAAATGTGTGGCCCATGATATTGAACGCCTGGGAATGTGTGCGGTTAACTCAAGCTATTTCTTAAGACTACATCACTTGACTCCCAAAGAATCCAAACTAGTGTTAAAAGATGAAAAAGCTGCCACCAATAGCTGGAAATTACTGTTGTACAGCCATTCAGATCATTTGTGGGTCTTATAATATGGTAAAGCATTTGATTTCTAATGTTTGCATTAATTCTTTATTTGTGACATTCTTTTAAATCATATAAAATTGTATTCAAATGTATTACTAACTTATAAGACATTTCATTCTACACTCAATATAATTTATAATTAAATTTTGAATAATTTTGAATTAATGTTTATTTTTAACTTTAATACACATTAAAGAGTGGAATGCCGTTGGAGTGACACTGATATCAATGGAAGGGTGGATCAGATCCAACTGTTACGGATGAAATGCTCTAAGAATGGCATTCATATGAATGAAGACTATTGTAAAACACAAGACACATCCAGATTAATAGGCAATGAATGCAAGCGTTTTATGGGTCAATACTGCCCTCACATCGATAGTCCCTCATCCAGTCCCACATTTATCCGTCTGTTGGATATATTTATAATTTGGGGATTTGTTGCTTTTTGCAAATTCATTATTCAATTCTAACTTATATCTCATTATCTATTCATTGATTTAATAAAAGAGACAACAAGTAAAAACACAAAACAACCTTTTATTTGAGTTAAATTCACTATTCAATGAGCGCGAGAAATATTAAATTAATAATTTTAAAACTATACTCAAATTATCAATTGAAAATGAGTCACTATTTTATAACATGTTTTGTGGTATCGGCGCTTATATGGACAGGTAGTTTATGTGAGAATAAAGGGAATGTATGTCTGGGCGACGATATACTAATGCTGGAACTGTGTGCTGTCAACTCGAGCTTTGTTTTAATTAAACACCAGTTGAGTGCAATGAAAACCATGGTATCCATGCGATCCCTATCCCTGCCTTCAATATCTGGAGAATTCTGTTGCACAGCCTTTCAGATCTTTTGTGATTCTTATAATCGGGTAAACATTTATTATAATTAATATTTAGGTGTATCTATCGGTTTATTAGTGAAGGGTTTCTCTCAATTCATAAAGCATTGCATTCAATTGTGTATTAGATATAGATCTCCATAATATGGACCAAACTTTTGATTTGAATCATAATTAAAGATGGTAGTCTTTACTAGTATTTGTGGACTAATATTTGTTTCATTTTAATATACGTTAGAAAAGAAAGTGTGGTTCAGATGGGGACGAGATAATCGGCCGGAAAGTTGAGATGAATGTGTTGCGGAAGATGTGCTCTAAGAATGGCATTCATATCAGTGAAGGCTATTGTAAACAACAACACACCTCCAACTTCTTAGGCACCGCATGTCACCGATTTATGGGTCAGTATTGCACTCACGCCGGCCCTCTCATTTATAAAGCATCCAGTCCTACATTATACCCAGTATTGTATATGATTTTCACTTTGGGAATCATTGTTTTCATATATAGTAATATTAACTAATATTTATTATTTTACTTATTTAATATTCTGTGATTTTCAATATTCTAATTATATTATACAAGTACACTACTGTATTATTAAAAGTTTTAAATTCTTGAAGTGACTTAACTTGTAAATAACCCAATATTAAAGTCTAAACTTTACAAAAATTTCTACTTTTAGATTTAGAGTCTTAAGTATACCGTAATACTGAAAGTTTTAATTGTTTGCGCGATTAAAATGTTAAGCATTATTTACAGAATATTAATATGAAAGCCTTACAGAAAACCAATAATAAAAATATAAACAAATACTGTATAATAAACGGTTACAGTATCAGTGACAACTTATCACTGATTTAAGTAGAAATTACATAATCGTATGAACAAAAATAAAATTCAATTGTGAGTTGAAATGAATTTTTATTATAAGTCTCGTTTGGTGGTGTCGGCGCTTATATGGAGTGGTAGCTTATGTGAGAAGGAAAGTGAGAAATGTGAGAATGAATATACACTACACCTGGAGCTGTGTGTCAAGAACTATACATACCGTTCCTATCATGGAATCGGACGCCAGAAACCCATTCACAGCCCGTCTTCCGATATCCGCCCAATTCTGTTGTGCAGCCTTTCAGATCATTTGCGGGGCTTATAATCGGGTAAACATTTAGTTTACATTAAGTTTTCAGGTTTCATTGTATGGTTCTTTCAGATAAAATCATCTTTATATAAAATTACATTTAATTATAACTATAAATTGTTATAATACAAATATTAATTGTTTGCAAACCTATTATAGTATTGTATTTTTGACTGTTAATTGTAATTATTTTTATAACTTATTAGAAACTAGAGTGTAATATAGATAAGGATTTGATTCATTTAAATGAACGACATATGCAAAAATTGCGGGATATTTGCACAAAGTATGGCATTCATGTGAGTGAAGACTATTGTCGAAAACAAGACACTTCCAGATCTGTAGTCAAATCATGTCAGCGTTTTTTGGGCGAATATTGCACTGATACTGGTACTCCAGCAACACTCAATCTAATAATTAATAAAGCATCCTGTCTCTCATTAAACTCTATGCTAAATATGATTATAATTACAAGAGTTGTTGTTTACATATTAACTAATTCCGTACTTTATATCTGATACATCGATTTTCAATGTGTTCATAACTTATTGATATGTTAAGACAGATAACAATTAAAAAGTAAAGAATTAAATTTCTTTATTGAATTTAATGAATAAACAAATATTGTATGATAAATAATAAACAATTAAATGTATGATTATTTTTAAACACTTATGATTTTGTTAATTATACACAAAGTTATTAACAATTGACAGGAATTAAATACAATTTATAAAAATTAATGTTATATGAAAACAGTACTTAACCAAATGGAGAGACAGGTCCTTCGCCCTCAAGACATGCTATCCTAAGTCCCTGCGGATTGTACCAGGTCCACCTCAGTTTATATACACCCTGATAATTAATTGCAAACAATTAATAAATCACAAACAACATAACACCTTGCCAACATAATACCTCAGCAAAATAAGATTGAAATGACGTCAACTTGCGCTCCTGTACCCTAACTCTGAAATGATAACCGACCACTTTCTTGGGGCTCATCGGACAGCCACACGAGCCGTTGCCAAAGGTTTTTGAAAACGTGCAGAAATTATCGTAGTCAGCAACTCGACAGATATCGTAATCGCATGAACCAAACTTATTAGCGCAGGGTATCTTAACCTGGATGGGCATGAATAGCATCTTCATGAGCCGCCACACCTCCACTTTGGACGTCGAGCCGGCTTTTACTTCGTTGAGTATGGTATAGGAGGCGCCGATGGTTAGGTTCCGGAGCCGCATGGGCTCCTGTATGCGCACGTCCTCCCACCGCACACTGGCGTTAGTGCCCCCGCAGTCCGACCACTTCAGCAACTTTATGGTCGAGTCGCCACCGACTGGCTGTTGTTGTAGGCCTGACACGAAAATCACCAAAACTACAGATAAGATCAGTATTACACACAAATTCACTAATAATTGTGACATTATTTAAGAAATTGTATGATTTCCACTATATTTACAATATAAAATATTAAACCACTCTAAACGTTAAGCCTTTTTATAGTCCAATATGTTAGAGTTAATTTGAAAAATAAAATATTTTATATAAAACATACACAATTAAAAATTATATGCATTTGTGTTACAATTAATACAAAATGCGATAAAGACCTCCATTTATAAATTGGAGGACAATTCAAATTAATAAATCATCATTTAGTTTTAAAGTTTAAAACGTTATGTTGTGGAATAAGTATTATATGTGTAACGTAAATAGGTCTCATAAGTTACTTCATAGTTAATACAATATAGTATTTCTATATTTAATAAATAAATAATTACTGTAAACAAAATCAAAACAAACAAATAAAATGAATTAATTAACCTGATTAATGTCATAAAATGATATGACAATTAAAGTTGAGTCACGATAACCTTAAACCTCTATAAATGACATCTAATTAAAATAACAATTTTCATAAACCTTGAGAATTATACCGTATTTATATTTTATGTTTAACTAAACATTAATTGCTATATTTAATTGAATTTATTTTATAACTTTATCATCAAATCATTTGATATCATCTAAACCTTTTCTAATCTCTAAATGAATGTCTAATACATTGTATACCATTCATGGCTTATAATTAAATTGAGTTAGTCTCCATTCGGGGTTTATAAATGTGTGCGGGGCTTATTACCGGTAATAATAAAAAATTTATAGATTTATATCAGTAAGAATTATCCATTTTATTACAACTTTATTATGAATGTTACTATAAATGAAAATTATAACGAACAGATAGTGTTATAAATACAGAATAATCAACTTCTAAATTGTTAAATATGAACACATTTTGTGGTTAATGGTAATCAACACTAGATTTATAAAACTTAAATAAAAAATTTATTTAAAAAAAAATAGCGAACCATTAAATACTGTAATAAAAACATTTGTCTAATCAATCGGTTTATCGTTGCTTGAAATGACTGCTAATTTCTTGTCGACAAGAATTTGGTGCAAAAACAGCAAATCAGTTGCATCTATAGATCTGATTCTGTCATAAAATCTGATGAAAACCCTATATCTGTCGCACCGGTAATCAATGAAAGCGCATTCAATGGGTCCGCTATAACTGTATTCCTCCAGTCTTTTGACCAAATTTACGGCCCATTGAGACCAGTATTGACCACTTTTGCCAAACGGACGGACGGCCGTCAACTGGACTTTCAATGCCTGCGCCGGCAGTTCACTGAATCTCTTCAACAGTAATCGCATTTCATTGACATTCGCGTCGATCACATCCCCTATGAGTTGACAAACAATTCAGATTTGATCTCAAAAGTGGTTAAAAATATTCATTCAAATACCGATGTCTACGAGAAGTAGTCGACAATTATTGCTCTTATCGACCGATAGGATGACACATCGGTGCCATTCATCCAGTATTTTACAGTATTTTGTGGCGCAGAGGAGGCCATCAAACAGCAGAAGACTTGGTATGCGATACTTGTGGTCGTTGTCCGCGTTATCATAACATCTCATTTCGGTTCTCAAGCGATGGTAAGCGTAGTGATGATCGTCGCCGCAGATGTAGACATACATCTCATGTGGATCTTTAATTAGCATTAGTCTCACGGCACAGAAGTTCAGTTCATTGATAATATTGCCTGAAATAGTGGACAAAAAATAAAACATTTTAATTGTAATCATAAAAATCAAAACCAAGTTTCAATTGACAAGAATACCGGAAAGTATTTCTGGCAAACCATTGATGACCACATTGTCTGGGAATCGATACTCAGGTAGTTTATGGCCACAAGAGATCACGTCATCGGGAGTGTCAGACAATATATCCATCAGTGGATAATCTCTACTGACTTTAATCCCTGATAACCAGTAATAGTATTGATTGCGATCGCAATACACATGACTGATCCGATGGTTGTCACGGATCACACGAATCGGATAATTATCGCGCGTAAGACATTCAACCACTTCATCGATGGTCTCGAAGCCCTCCCTCTTGAGAATCAATTCATACAAGAATTCTTTGTGGAACTCATACCTAATTGAATCCAATTCTAGGCCTTTCTCACGGAATTTATGGCAAACTCTCACAATTCTTGAGCCCAGGCATGGGCTCAATGTCTGTCCATTGGCACCGGTATCCATTCCCTTCAGTCCTGTCACTAAATTAATGAATTAAAGTATTTCCTTAATAAATATGTAAAATAAAATGTATTGACAGCAGAGCACAGGTATGTTTGACACTCAAATGGTTAGACTTCCATACCGTGTGTGTGTATTGGAGTGCAGTCTCGCACTCATTGCTAATTGAAAGCAATGTCCACAACACAGGTCTCGAGACCTCATAAGTCACGCGTTGGTCTCGCGCTTCATAACTACGGGTATAACTAGAGTCCAATTACTTAACTATGATTCAGGGGAACGGTATATCATGTACTCATAGTTGCATAAAAAAGCATAATATTGAATGCAGGTATGGGTTCAGGTGTTCAATAGTGGCAAAAGTGAGAAATACTTGCAAAACAAGTGGTTTAGTAGTCAAATAAAGTTTGGGAAAAGTTCTGATGCCTTGCCATCCATATTAGTCAATTTATGCACAATATATCTCTGTCATTTAATTAATTCTGAATTAACTCTGTTTTTGAATAACTTTGATTTAATAGTATTTGAAAAAGTCGTGAAAGATATCAAAAATATTAATTGGTATTAAAAAAGCAATTAAAAATATAATTCAATTGTATATAGCTTGTCAAAATTAATACAAAGTTAATCACACAATTTGTTAACATTATGTCGTATGATACAAATAAAGCTTTGGATAAGCATGGTTTTTTCAAACAATCATAATTAAATGAATACTTACATGGAAAGTGTGTCTAATTTTGTGTAAATAGCAGTGAATTTAAGTACGAAATACTTATGAAATGTATTGAATCTGAAAAGCATGTGTTTTTCGTAACGTTTTCATTGCATTCAATTCATTCAAGTATTGAACCCATACTACAGTAATCTCTGTTTAATAGTTACATTGAATGACAAATACATTTTTATTGCCACTTTTGATATTTTACAAAAGCAAGTCATACTGTATTCACTAAATAAACATTGCGAGATATAGTTTGATGGGAAACTTGAAACTAGGTTCATTTTATCAATTTATGAGGTGTATTATCTTAGTCTTGGATACGACTGCAACCATATAATCATCAAAATCTTAAAATAGTGGAGTGAAGGACATCCCGGTTTACTGTATTGTACAACAAGTTTGGGGTAAATGTCTACTTATATTAATAGCTAGACTGTAGGGTGAGGTTACATAACATTGCCTGGTAAGGTATATTTAATACATGTTTCCAATTGCGGGATCAGTTTATTTACATCATATCTGTTTTAAGCCTATTTAGTTAAAGACTGTACTGTACTGTACTGTATATAGGTACATAATATAATAAGTATACCATATTGTCATGGAAATATATTACAGAACTTTATAAATATTGATTTGATATGACTTTCTCATATGATTGGCACAATTAATTATAGATTTCCATCAATAAGTGTATGGACAATAGGTTGTTGAGGGACTGGGAGGGCGAGGAGGAAATGGTGTAGTGGTAAAGGACAGGACAATAGGTATGACATTGCGTGCGCCAGACATTTAATATAACCACCAATTAGTAAGGAATTGGTTATTAGAAAATATTATTTATTGGAAAGTACAATTCAAATTATGAAGTTTTTTGCATAATAAATATAATTAAAAAATGTATTCAAAATTAACGATTAAGTTTTGATCAAAAAAAATAGTTTAAATGTTAAGCACAATAATAATACAATTCTTGACAAATATTCTGATGAATTGCGAGTCACTTATAGGTTAGTATTACTCCTATCATCAGTGCTATCAGTGTTGGGACAGTTGTTTTGGTCGGTCCTGAAGAACAAAAAGGTCGGACTATTCATGGCTGACAGTCTGTTCACCAACAGGTCCACGATCTGTGGGTCCAGGATTGGGGTCCGACTCATAATCCATGCGTTTTCTAAGTTCACGAAAAATTTGAATGTTTGATACAAATATAATATAAGATTGAAATACCGATATTAATGGGAACGACAGGCAATGAAGAGCACGAGTAGGTGAGCGCATAGTTTTGATAATCAGTCTCCAATACCCACAGCTTTGATCTACCGGTAAATCCGGCGACTAATCAATTGAAACAATTCATACAATTATAAAATTACATAAAATTAAAATAAATATATAAAAAGCATACATCGTCTGAACTCTATGTTAAACTTAGCCGGATCGGTAGCATTTGGTGTGGCCAGGCCTCTGATGTTAATCGGGTAATTGATTCTGAATTATTTAAATTTAAAGTTAAAACAACTGCTTTTATTAATAAATGTATTACTAATTATAACTTACAATTTATAAACGCCTGAATTGAGCACATTTACGGTGCCGTTAGCGTTGAGCTCATAGTTAGTTGTGATACACTTCTGTCCGGCTTCCCATACATTCGGGTATTTCTGGATTTCATACCATTTGCCCATAAACTGTATTATCATTCATACGAAATAACATAATTTAAGCAAAATTAAGCACATAATTATAAATAATAATCTAAATCCATACCCTTTCGGGTTCAAAGTTTTGCACTGTCTGTATGTCCGGACAGACCGCCGATACCCTCATGAAGTCCGACACACATAATAATAACGCCAAAACACTTAATATGATTTTCATATTTAGTGAATAACTTTAACAAAACTAATTTGAAAGTAAAAGTTAAGGCAAAAGAAATAAATTATATTTTATACAAATTTAGTGGTTATGACATAATTACTTTGTATTTGTTTTTACTAATAACTCATAGAATTAACATAAGAATAATGTTCTTAACATAAATCTGTTACAAAAATTATAAAACTTTTATCCTTGAAATTTTGTTTTCTTATATGAACTTCAATTGTTTTAATGTAACATTTTATTGGCCACTAATATATAACGTTAAAATTCCTTAATTAGTTGCTAAAAATTTAATCATTAATTCATTACCGTAATAGCTATAATTGTTTACCCATGTAATTAAATTTATTTAGTAAAACCAATTAAATACTTTCCATTTATTTTTAAAGTATACCCTATTATAAAGATTTGATATAATGTCTTATTATTTAAAACGACAAATAATTAGCATTCAAATTATATATTTATAAAATGTTTTAAAAAATTTTAAATTATATTATTTTATTTGTAAAACATTTGAAAAGATTTATATACTTAGTTTTACTAAATTAAGAATAATTTATAAATTCATTAATATTTTTAAATTTTTAATAGTATGATAGGAAGTCATCTACAATCTCATAAAAACAATTTATTTCAAGGATTTTATTTCTTAAATATTATTGCTATTTATGTCAATTATACATATTTAATAACATACAAGAGTACAATAGTACTCTGTATAACGAAGTAAACAATATTTCCATCTAATTGCAACAAAATAAAAATTAATACATTTTATAACATTTTGGTTTATGAATACTAAAATTGATGGCATTTATTTTATTCTAAAAATGTCAAGTAACCTCTTATAACATTTTTTAATTGAAATTCCAGACCAAATCTATTAAATTTGCAAAGGTTATACAATATTTTAAATAATCCTACATCATATGTTTCTGCAAAAAAAAGTTAATATCTAATCATTGAGTATTCATAAAACTGATTGAATGTTTTTATATAAGATTCTGCGAAAAATGATTAACGATTTATATTTTATAATATTTAGGTATGAATTATTAATTAATTTTAATAAAACCACTACTCGTGCATTATATAAAAGGATATAATTTTAAGCGTAAATAATTCGCCAATGAATACAATTAAACAATATTTGATTTTGTGATGAATAACAAGTTAAACATAAAAAAGCAAATCAAATCAAAACCGTGTTATTGAATACATTTTGAGTACAACTCCATCGTTATAATCAATTCAAAAGTGAAAGTGAACTCAAAGTTACACGAAAACCTAAATTTCTATTTATTATTGAATAATGAATTCATTAGAAATTTCTCGTTAGAGACGAAATCATACATAATATAAAAATTTTTATGTTTTCATTAACTAGAGTCTAGCATTCAGTAATTTAGTTGATTTAAGATAATCTAAAGTAAAATATATCCAAGTTTTATAATACTCATTGTACTTCAATTATTATTTAATTATAAAATATATATCAAGAATATTTATTATTTTAGGCATTGATTTAATTGATTAGCTATTGTTTAAAATATATATATTTGGGATAAAGTTGATCGGAAATTATTGTACTCTATGTACTTATTGAATGTGTTTTTAAATCGATTTGTACACGAATTGACTGTTATTTGTGACAAAATAAATAGTAATGAATATTTAATTATGTAAACCAAGTGCTCAATCAAGTCAAGGCTACTGTGACTATGAATTGAAATCTAAAAAATCATTATCAAAATCACACTTTCTTTCGATGCAATTGTTTCCATTAATAAATCAATTATGTAGTTAAAAATAAAACTTAAACATACAGTGAAAGTGTTTATTAGGAAAAGAAGTGTAATTACATTAATTCATGTTTATGTCATTGTAAGGGAACAGTAGACAGTAGGCTAAGGGTGCGAAAGCACCATTCAATCCGTGAATCTTGTATTTAAACTAAAGGAGGAGAAGTTTTGTTCATAATTTAGAAAATTCATAACTCATTGCCTGTCAGGTGTCGGAGTGTTTGCCTTAACTTTTACTTTCAAATTAGTTTTGTTAAAGTTATTCACTAAATATGAAAATCATATTAAGTGTTTTGGCGTTATTATTATGTGTGTCGGACTTCATGAGGGTATCGGCGGTCTGTCCGAACATACAGACAGTGCAAAACTTTGAACCCGAAAGGGTATGGATTTATATTATTATTTATAATTATGTGCTTAATTTTGCTTAAATTATTTTGTTTTGTATGACTGATAATACAGTTTATGGGCAAATGGTATGAAATCCAGAAATACCCGAATGTATGGGAAGCCGGACAGAAGTGTATCACAACTAACTATGAGCTCAACCCTAACGGCACCGTAAATGTGCTCAATTCAGGCGTTTATAAATTGTAAGTTATATTTAGTAATACATTTATTAATAAAAGCAAATTAACTAACTTTAAATTTAAATAATTCAGAATCAATTACCCGATTAACATCAGAGGCCTGGCCACACCAAATGCTACCGATCCGGCTAAGTTTAACATAGAGTTCAGACGATGTATGCTTTTTATATATTTATTATAATTTTATGTAATTTTATAATTGTAAGAATTGTTTCAATTGATTAGTCGCCGGATTCACCGGTAGATCAAAGCTGTGGGTATTGGAGACTGATTATCAAAACTATGCGCTCACCTACTCGTGCTCTTCCCTGCCTGTCGTTCCCATTAATATCGGTATTTTAATCTTATCTTATATTATATTTGTGTCAAACATTCAGATTTTTATTCATTTTTATATTTTTTCGTGAACTCAGAAAACGCATGGATTATGAGTCGGACCCCAATCCTGGACCCACAGATCGTGGACCTGTTGGTGAACAGACTGTCAGCCATGAATAGTCCGACCTTTTTATTCTTCAGGACCGACCAAAACAACTGTCCCAACACTGATAGCACTGATGATAGGAGTAATACTAACCTATAAGTGACTCGCAATTCATCAGAATATTTGACAAGAGTTGTATTATTATTGTGCTTAACATTTAAACTATTTTTTTGTGAAAAACTTAATCGTTAATTTTGAATACATTTTTTAATTATATTTATTATGCAAAAAAAACTTCATAATTTGAATTGTATTTTCCAATAAATAATATTTTCTAATAACCAATTCCTTACTAATTGGTGGTTATATTAAATGTCTGGCGCACGCAATGTCATACCAATTGTCCTGTCCTTTACCACTACACCATTTCCTCCTCGCCCTCCCAGTCCCTCAACAAACTATTGTCTATACACTTATTGATAGACATCTATAATTGATTGTACCAATCATATGAGAAAGTCATATAAAATCAATATTTATAAAGTTCTGTAATATATTTCCAATGTGGTATACTTATTATATTATGTATACAGTACTGTACACTCTATAAGTAAATAGGCTTAAAACAGATATGCTATAAATAAACTGATCCCGCAATTGGAAACATGTATTAAATATACCTTACCAGGCAATGTTGTGTAACCTCACCCTACAGTCTAGCTATTAATATAAGTAGACATTTACCCCCAAACTTGTTGTACAGTACAGTAGACCGGGACGTCCTTCACTCCATTGTTTTAAGATTTTGATGATTATATCGGTTGCAGTCGTATCCAAGACTAAGATAATACACCTCATAAATTGATAAAATGAACCTAGTTGCAAGTTTCCGATCAAACTATATCTCGCAATGTTTATTTAGTGAATACAGTATGACTTGCTTTTGTAAAATATCAAAAGTGGCAATAAAAATGTATTTGTCATTCAATGTAACTATTAAACAGAGATTACTGTAGTATGGGTTCAATACTTGAATGAATTGAATGCAATGAAAACATTACGAAAAACACATGCTTTTTGGATTCAATACATTTCAACTATTTTGTACTTAAATTCACTGCTATTTACACAAAATTAGACACACTTTCCATGTAAGTATTGATATTAAATGTTATGTTAAACAATCATAATTAAATGTTATGATTGTTTGAAAAAACCACGCTTATCCAAAGCTTTATTTGTATCATACGACATAATGTTAACAAATTGTGTGATTAACTTTGTATTCATTTTGACAAGCTATATACAATTGAATTATATTTTTAATTGCTTTTTAATACCAATTAATTAAAAACTATAGAAAGTGCTGAAAAAGTTTATGATAATTTAGTTTCAATAAGTTTTTGTCTCAATTAAGTCTTAATTAATTTACTGTCTCTATATAACACGTATTTAACTGATTATACCTACCGTTCC